AGCAACAGTAGGAATACAGGAGAGGTCATCAAAACCGATAAACGAATGAGGGTAGATGATAACACCAGTGTTTCTCATGGCAGATGAACGGTAGAGATTGAAGCCGTTTTCCCTCCTAACTTCAACCTCCATTCTTCTCTTCTTCAGCCTCTCCTTCCTGTGGGCATTCTGGTGACCTCCTAATGCCTGTGAGGTTGAAAACTTCTTCAAACAGAAGCGGCATTCATATTTAAGCTCCACCACAGAAACGGATGAGTTTTTCTCCTTTGCCTCAGGAGAGACACTCTCTTCTGGGGAGCTCAAGTAGGCGAAAGCTTTCTCAACCTTATCAGATGAAACTGTGTCTGAGGAATTGACACTCTCGTCTGTTTCAGACCTCGGGAACACCTCATTTGCACAAGGATCCACCTTGAAGCCAAATAATCTAAAATGTTTTTTATCACTTCCAGGTGAATGAAAATCAACCTTACCAGATTTTCGATCCTCTGCATTTTCCATTTCCTAGGAAGGAGAAGTTCCAGGCATCTCCTGTGCTCAGGCCCCGCGGGTTTTATAGGAGGTGCATACAGGCAACTGTGTAATGGAAGCCAAAATGTCATGTTGTTATCATGCATAGGCATCAATAAACATACAATATATCATTGTATAATCAAAAGATTGACATATAAAGGCAGACCATGGACCCATGTTGCATTACAGGACTTTTCTGCTTTAGGATTAGTATGCACTCAAATGTCATTAGTCACTTTTGTTTGGGAAAACATCCTATTCAAAAAAACATTTTCCCACAGCAGCATAGATAGCACAAGATAAGAAACTTGGAAGACTAGACAGCACAAGTTGAATAAGGCGATATTGACTCTTTGTGCTTCAGTAGTTATGAACAGATACTGCATTGTAACAGAGTCAGTAGCACTCAAAAAAAAAAGTTGAAAATTAAGCACCATCAAGATCAAGATAATATAGAGCAACAGGCATTCAGGGTAACCCCATATTTACCTCTAATTGCCATGTCAAATTTAACTCACAGTAATTCCTATTCCCATGGAATGATACTCTTGCCAAGTAGTGGAAATGTACAAAATGGATTATGATATAAGCACATCTTCTCAAGTATCCAGTTAGATTTGAGCATATCTAGCAAGAAGGTAAAAGCTTAATATGGATAAACATCAAATTCATCCAGCAAAGCATTTTTTGTTGCCATCTGCTCCAATTGATCATTGGACCACATTCCTTGCTTCCTTGAAGAGTCTATGCTTGCCAAATCGCAATGGAATGTGTCATAATACCACCTAATTATTTGATGACTTTGCAAAAAGATCTCTTTCCCAAGTAGCTAGGGATTAAATACCTGTAAAGCAACCTGACCAGGGAATAGAATCAAGCATACTATTTCACATTAAAAATGGATAAATTTGGCCATTTCCTGTGCCTTAGTGGTGCATAGATATTGTAACAAAAAAAGTTATATGTGTAAAGTGTCCTATTTATAAACATACAAAGATATAAGTGCTAAACCTAATAAGGCTACGGCCACTTAACATATCTATGCTCTAGCTTTAGGGGAATGTTAATTGCAGTCCTAGCCTTATTGGACTTGGCGCATATCTTTGTATGTATACTAGTAATCTTTATATATAATAAATAATGAAACATTGGCACCATAAGAGCAAAAGACTAAGATCTTTGAATGTAACATGCTTAACCATTCAAATATTTTTTATCTAGACAAGTTTCGGTAATCAGCAAAGGCTGACTAAACTCTATGCACATACAGAATGTAACATAACCATTCAGTCACTTTGAACTAGAGACATATTTCAGTAAAGGACAAGGTTGCTGGTTGGAATCCACTTCAGCTTTGTAAGATCCTTTCCCAGAGCACTCTCGACAGGCCTTGCCATGGGTGTACAGTAGACAATTTAGGTCAAATTTTAGTTCATTTGGAATTCGTTGATTGAGATGAAGGTATGTCTTTTTTACATTTGCCTCGGCTGGTACCCAACCAATTGTCCTTGCAATCTGAAAAACCTGCACAAAAAGCTTTAGAAATTAATCTTACTCCAAACATTTATCCACTCATGAGTCCTGATACATAAACAAATAAATAATTCTTACATGTGTGTCTACTGGAAAATCATCTTGGTTGAGATGAAACATCAAGACACATGCCACCTGCCATCCATCAAAACCATCTCATGTGGGAAAAATCCAATAAAAATAAGTATGAGACAGTTTTTTAACACACTATAGTCTGTCATTTTCTTTTTATATAATAACTAGTTTTCACTTGTTAATGATAATTATGTTCATTTGGAATTGTCAAAAAAACAATAAAAAGAACTTCAAACACCCCATTCCAAAATCTTGAGAAATACAGAGCATTAAATTGAAGAAGAATGTTCCAGCGAAGCATCAATTGTTGAGATCAATACGATAGCAACAAAATACGGAGGAAAATTCTCAACGATCTCACAATTCAAGCACTTGGGGAGTATTAGAGATATGAAGCCCTTCTTGCAGTACAAAAAGGCCATTTGTAAGACTTCAACAGGTTTACTTGCCAATTTATTTGAGTAATCACAAATCTTTTACTAGATACGGGCATATCATGTTTGACAAAACCCAAACTCCCAAAGCTTAACTTTATTATTTATTAGAAAGTTGAAAACAGTGGGCAAGCATAATGCAGAGGATGATATACACAACCTTATATCCATCTGCAGAAAGTTTCAAAGCTTGACTCCATGACCAAATGGTCATTGAGCAAGCATTTAGCCACTACAACAAGCGCAGCCTTAAATTATTGATATTGATGAATTCCCTCCTAAAAAATGCTAGAAGTGATAAAAGTTTTTGAAACTGATTTTACCATTATATAGGCATCTACATTGAAATTAGGAACTCTGTCAGAAAAAATGGAATGACAAAAGGACACTCCAACCTTTTAGAGTTACAAATGCTTCCAAAGACCCAGTCTAATTCTTGATAAATGAAAAACAAGGAACTTAAAAGCACAAGGAAAATCTAAATGACAAATGATTACCGTTTTAGGTCCAACTCCACTATAACAAGAAAGATCTCTCTTGATTTCCTCAATTGACAGATCCCTCAGGTACTCCAGGCACAACTTTCCTTTTTTCTCAAGCAAGCAACTCAAGATCCCCTTAACACAAGAAGTTTTGCTTGGTGCTAGGCCCGCACATTTTATAGCATTTTCAACTAACTTTGGCTCAGCAGCATGGACCTTGCATATTTACATGACAAGCATGAAAACATTGAGCCAAGAAAAGTCAGAGTAAATCAATTCTATGTTAGCACATTATGCTCAGAAACAGAAGTTTTTATTATTCATAAGTTGGGCTATTCCTTTGCCATACAAGGATCATTTGAACCACAAACGAGCCAGCTCTTCAACAAAATTCACTACTAGTCATGCTTGTTCAACAAATTTCATCAATGCCATATAAATTAACCATTCAGAACTAACTAAACAAAAGCACAAAGTTATTATGAACTAAGCTCACCCAGTGCTAGCTCAAAGCAATCTTTTATTGAAATCAAACTAAATGGAACCCTAAAATACCATATAGAAAGACAAAAGTGAATAGAATCTGCTCCACCTAAATAAACAGATGCAAATTGGCCCAAATAGCAATTAGTTTAAAATGTAGGTTTAAACCCATATAGTAATCAAAGACATTGCTCCATAATTTGAAGACCAACAATCCCATTTCAAGAAATATTTCATTATAAAACAACTATTACAAAAGTTTAAAAGACCCAGAGAAATATAAACACAGTAAGAGCATACATCGTCCCAGGTGGGGAAAGAAGACTTTAGAGAAGTGAAAGCCCTCCGAGCATTAACCTCAGTGGTGTTCTGCGATAGTATGGCGCCCACTAGACCATCCAGTACACTTTCTTGCCCACAACCGTCGTCATCACCCCCTTCTTCTTCATTCAACTGCTCAGAATTGGAGAGGCTCTGGTTCAGATCGGGGAGATTCTGGTTTAGAAGTAGTCGTTGTTTCCGGTACTTGAGGAAGTCCTTGGGAAAACCATGGAGACCCAAGAGGTCATCCCGTACGGCTTGACATTCCTCCAATGTAGGATTAGGGAAACCTGGGTATGGGTTACTTTCATCGACGGCGGCGCCACCGGTTCGATTCGGCGCCTTGAAAGACGACGGCGTCGACGGAGGAGAGGGTTTCCTCTTTAAGCTTCTCGGCATTTTAACGAATTCGCGCGCCTAACGGCAAAAATTAGGCTAAAAGTGCGTCTGATATTTAGGATTCAATCACTTTACAACAGTACAATATGGTTTTTTGTTTGAGAGAGAAGTACAATATGGTTTTTATTTGGTTTAACATATTAATTTCGTAATTTAACTAAGAAAATTCTATTTGCACCATCTTAATTGCTATTTATACCACTTTTTAATAAGTATGATAGTTTTATAAATGGTGTAAATAAAAAATTGTTATTTGCACCACCTTCATTAAATTTAGTCAAACATTATATTTTTTTAAAAAAATATTTATTATTTATTTTTATTTAAAAATCAAAACATTAATTTTAAAAAAAAAAAAAAAACCTCACTTGCCTGTTGAACCGGAATCGGAACCAAACCATCCGTACGGTTCTGGTTCCTAACCGGAACCAATATGATTCCGGTTAAGGTTCGAGATGAAAAGGAACCGAAACGGTTCCAAATCAGAAAAAATTAAAAATTATAGTGTTTTTTTATTTTTTATTTTAAATAAATCCTGTTAGAACCGACGGTTCCAACCGGATCCAAAACCTTACTATAAGGTTTCGGTTCCATTTGCGGAACCGAAATCGGAACCACGGCCATCCCTAAGCCCAGTAGGTCGCCTTCTCCGGTGGAAGGCGATGTTTTTTTTTTTTAATGTTTTAATTTTTAAATAAAAAGAAATAATAAATAATTTTGTTATTATAATATTCTTTATAACTCAAATTTGTTGTATACATTATTTTACGTTTTTATACAAATATAATAAATTAATTTTGAATCGCTAAAAACGGTAAAAACACATTAATATTACAATAAAATAATAAAAAAAATATTCAATTTCAATGTAATATAACATTCTCTCGAGTACAATTAGAGCGTACATGCTCATTGTAAATATTGATCCAATTCACATATGGAGTAATATAATCCATGCATTTGCACAATCATATTTAAAATAAGCCTATTGTGGAGCAATAGTAGGTATTGGGTACCCTCTTGTCAATGTTACCTTAACATAATGATTATTATTAACGTAACCAAGAGTAATTGCTACATGCTCGTATCAAGGTGGTGGGTTAGATTGGAGCGGTAAATATGTCATAGTGTCGGCCATATTCAAAACATGTAATATCACATTGTATGGGGAAGCAATTAGTACACTCATCTCCGGCATAGTCATCCAGTGCTCAACTGGTGCATATCAATCTTGTGCAAAAAGATTAAATGTGTTATAGATGTTATACCATCCTTGAGTTCCAAACATATTAGAATATTCCATCTTGTGAGACTCTAATTCTTCCATTAAATTAGATTGAATTTTACACCATTCGCCCCTCGAAAAACCAAGACAAAGAGCTACCGCTCGAAATCCACAATTTCTGTCAGATCTCGTATCTTGGACTTGCATAATGAAAGGATGGAATATAACCGAAAGTTGATGAATATATGGATGGTAAAAATGTCTATCACATGAAGTTGTTGCAGCTGAACAACTATTTCGAGCTGGTTCTTGAAACTGAAAAGCATTTTGCTCGGCCTAAGTTTCTCTGAGAGATAGAGTTTTTCTGAGAGATTTGTTTTTTGAAGTGGGACGCCCACGAATATTTATTTGCACGGTTGGCTCACAGATCAAAGTTGTAGATGGCTCAATCATCTCCCTCAACTTTCTCAATAAACTGAATTTACCAGTTTTTTATGGTTTCTTGAACTGATCCTTAAACATATGAAGCTCATGCTCAAAACCAAAAGCCTCATTTTTTAGAGAGATGGAAGATGAAAAGTGACCAAAAAATTGTAATGGATAAAATCTTGAGGACAATTTAGAGGTCGTTTACCAACTTGAAAAGATAGAGAATTTTTCAGAAAAATGGAGAAATTGAAGAGTGAAAAAAAATAAAAGTTGGAGAAGTTGTTTACTAAATTTCTGATTCCAAATGTTTACTCATTCTCCAATTTCCAACTTTGGAATTTGGAGAATACAAAAAGTAACTTCTCCAAATAAAGAAATGGAAACATATGGAAGAACAATGCTTGCTGACCCAGGCGTCCCAAGTTTGAATATTGTTGGCTTCTTTTGTTGCTTCGCTTCTTCTTCTTCTTCTCCAGATTCAGACTTTTTCCCTTCTTCTGGCCAGCGGCGTGATTTTTGCAACACTGATATATAGTACAGATATAGATTAGAATAAGAATAGCATTACACTATTTTATAATATTAGAATAGGATTTTAACCTAGAATTATTGTACGAATGAGAAAGTAGAAATCAATATATTTTATTAGGAAGAGAGATTTTTTATGAATTGGGCGGGAGGAGTTAAAATTTCAGGATTTTGTTTTTATATATAGTATAGATAGATGTGCAAAGGAAATTGTATTACACTATTTTATAATTTTAGAATGGAATTTTTACCCTAAATTATTGTACGAATGGGAAAGTAGAAATCAATATATTTTATTGGGAAGAGAGATTTATTAGAAATTGGGCGGGAAGTTAAAATTTCAGGATTTTGTTTTTATATATAGTATAGATGTGCAAAGGGAATTGTATTACACTATTTTATAATTTTAGAATAGAATTTTTACCCAGAATTATTGTACGAATGGGAAAGTAGAAATCAATATATTTTATTGGGAAGAGAGATTTTTTAGGAATTGGGCGGAAAGTTAAAATTTCAGGATTTTGTTTTTATATATAGTATAGATAGATGTGCAAAAGGAATTGTATTACACTATTTTATAATTTTAGAATAGAATTTTTACTCAGAATTATAGTACGAATGGGAGAGTAGAAATCAATATATTTTATTGGGAAGAGAGATTTTTTAGGAATTGGGCGGGAAGTTAAAATTTCAGTATTTTGTTTTTATATATAGTATAGATAGATGTGCAAAGGGAATTGTATTACACTATTTTATTATTTTGGAATAGAATTTTTACCCAGAATTATTGTACGAATGGGAAAGTAGAAATCAATATATTTTATTGGGAAGAGAGATTTTTTAAGAATTGGACGAGAAGTTAAAATATCAGGATTTTGTTTTTATATATAGTATAGATGTGCAAAGGGAATTGTATTACACTATTTTATAATATTAGAATATAATTTTAACCTAGAATTATTGTACGAATGGGAAAGTAGAAATCAATATATTTTATTAGGAAGGGAGATTTTTTAGGAATTGGGCGGGAAGTTAAAATTTCAGGATTTTGTTATTATATATAGTATAGAAGTATAGATGTACCAAGAGAATTGTATTACACCATTTTAAAATTTTAGAATAGAATTTTTACCCGTAATTATTGTACGAATGGGAAAGTAGAAATCAATATATTTTATTAGGAAGAGAGATTTTTCAAGAATTGGGCGGGAAGTTAAAATTCCAGGATTTTGTTATTATATTAGTTTTTTACGCGCATTGCGCGATTGAGATAATGCCCAATTTTTTATTTTTTTTAAATAAGTACTTTAAAATATATCAAGGCAAGATTATATTGGAATTGTTCATGCATAAATAATAGAATGTTAAATTCGCGTATTTAAATAGGCAATTCTAAGTTTACAAATGCAAGATAATATAGTCAAGATTGATTATAATTGTCAATAAAATAAGTGTATAGGTATGGTTGAAACCAAATACGGGACATAAGGGAGAACAAATAAAAATTAGGGCATAAAATATTAAATATATACTAATATTGAATAGCTAATTGCTGATTGCCAAACAAGAACATTGCGAGATAATTTTCTACTTCAATTTGTTGTGTGATTTGAATACTCTTTTTGTCAATAAATCCCCCAAGTAGTTAATATGATTGGCTTAATTATATATTTTTTTATTTTTTTATTTGTTTAAAACAATTATTATTATTATTATTATTATTATTATTATTGTTATTGTTATTATTATTATTATTATTATTATTATTATTATTATTGTTATTATTAAATATATGTATACCCTTAGGTCATTTTACATGTTAATCTAAATAGCTAACTTTTTCAAATATCTTTTTACCAATCGTTGATATAATTCGTTGGTCAAATTCGCTAATATAATCCGCTAACTGCTGATTGTCAAACAAGGACATTGCGAGGTAGTTCTCACTTCAATTTGTTGTGTGATTTGAATATTCTCTTTGTCAACAAATCCCTCAAGTAGTTAATATGATTGACTTTATTAATTATATTTTTTTAATTTTTTCATGGTATTAATAAAATACTTGGTAAATAAATATATAACATTATTTTGTATTATAACTTTGATATTTAATTAAAAAATAGTGCACAAAAAAAAAATTAGACAATGTAGTGAATATAATCAATTGATGAATTTGAATGTAAAGAATTTTTACATTGGAGACTAATAAAATTATTTCTCTTAATTAATTTATTGATAATGAATAATATTTTTTAATAAAGATATTGTAGGGACAATGTAGCGAATATAATCAATTGATGAATTTGAATGTAAAGAAATTTTATATTGAAGAAAATAAATACAATATAACTATTGAAATTAATTATTTCTCTTATTTAATTTATTGATAATGAATAATTTTTTTTTTGAATAAAAACATTGTAGACAAATAATTCTAAATTAAAGAAATGCATATGTATTATTTTTTGTTGTAGCTACTAAATTATTATTTAATTTAGTAAGAGTAAAATAGAGTACTAATTATGCCAACTTTGATTAGGATGTGGTTCGAACCTAAGATCTTTCTTAATGAAATCAATGAGTAAGTTAACGGTGAACTAATAGAAATTAACGGAAAAGATAATATTTAACGGAAAAGTTAACGGATAATCATATTCACTAAGGATAAATTAGGAAATCTTATGGAAAAATTAAAATCTGATCAATCTGAGCCATTCATTTGATTAAAAAATCTGACCGCCATTTTTTCTACCCATTATAGGCCTAACTCTCTTGGGCTCTTATTAGTATAGTAGATTATAGGCCTAACTCTCTTGGGCTCTTATTAGTATAGGAGATATAGTATAGATGTACCAAGGGAATTGTATTACACTATTTTAAAA